GGGGCACAGGTTCTCCCGGCTCCGGGGCGCCGCCCGGCTGAGGGGACGCGCCCAAGGTCGCAAGGAGCAGCCGTAGCACATCGGGCGGACCCCGCGCGGCTCCGGGGCTCGGCCGGGCCGCCCTAGGCGGGGGTGCTCGGCCCCGCCGGGACCCCGGGCCGGCCGGCAGGTGAGCGGGGCGGCACCGCCGCACCCTCGGTGCGCGGCCGCGCCTCCTCTCGCCGCTGAAGGGCGAGGGGAGCCGGCGGAGCGACGGCGCCCTCCGCGTCCGCGGACAGGCGGCTACTCCCCGACCGGGGAGGGGAGGGCAGCATCCAACAAGTCCTTACACAACAGACGGCTCCCTCAGGGGACCTGGACGGGGCGAGCGTATGTAACTACCCTGCTAAATACCGGGTTAATCTGGTTTTAGAGCCCAACCAGACCGGCGAGCACCTGCGCCGCTCCCCGCGCCCCCCGCACCGCCTGCGCCCCTGCCCCGCGCCGCCCCTCGCGCTCCTCCTCAGCCGGACCGGCTCCACCCCACACAGCGGGGGAGGGAAAAAAAACCAAAAGAATAAAGGAAAAAAAAAAAAGGAAAAAATAAAATCCTTTGTTTAAAGGCTGCAGAACAGCTCGGCTGCCCCGGGACTTACCGCGGGCTTCGCAGCTACAGCAAGAACCTCCGCAGGGCTCCGCGTACTACACCGCCCGACTCCGAGTGAAGCTCCAGTAGCCCCGCCGCGCGTCTTTTATATAGAGTGCCAGCCCGCAGCCCCATTGGCCGTTATTTATAGCCCATTCATTCCATTGGGCCGCGCAGCCGCGGGCGGGGCGGGTGCTGCGCCGCCGGCCGGGCCCGCGCTCACCGCCATTTTGCTCGGCGTCGGGGAGGTCGGTGGTGGGTGGTGGGACGCTGCGGGCCGCTCCCGCGGCTCTGAGGCGGCCCCGGCACTGTCCCGTTACCACCGGCGTGAGGGCGGGAATCCATCTCGTGTGCCACCGGCCGGGGCGTGTCATCGCACACCAACTTGGCTGGTTGAAGGCTTCACACCTTTGCCAACACCTTGGTCGGGAGTTCAAACGCGGCTCTGATAATGCGTCACCCCAAAGGAAGGGTTATGTGGCGTGCGGACTGGCCGTGCTGTGAGCCGGGTGGGTGCCCCGAGCTGGCAGAAGCGCTGAGGCGGCTGCGGATGTGGCGCCCAGCCCCCGGCAGCCCGGCTCTGTAGAGGGAGGACCTGCACCTCGCCTCCAACACCTGCGAAACCGTGGGCTCGTTTTACAGCTTCATTCGAAAGGAAGTAGGGTGATGGTGTAAATCGCAGTGAATCCTCTGCTCTTGTCATGTGCCAAAAAAAAAAAAAAAATTCTTCAGCTGTGATTGGAGAGAGGGTGATTTCCTGCTAAAGACAGGCACAGGAACTCTGGGATCTGACCCATCTAAAGCTCACCTGAAATTCACGAAAATAGTGACTTCCATTGGTCTTTGAAGGAATGAGCAGGTTTGTCCCAAAGCAAAGATGCAGCTAAGAATCCTGCTGTTTGCAGAAATTGCAATATGTTAACAATGTGAATGAGTATCTTGATTTGACTTTCACCTTTACATAATAGTATCTTTATCTTTCTCTGACGTGTTTCTCACAGCAGAACCCATGTTTATCCTCCTGTCCAAACAGAGTGTATTTATCCATGAGAGTGCAAATCTGAGTTCCAGAGTTGCTTTCCTTGACATGAGCTGTGAATGTCAGGAGACATCACCTGAAACTTTCCCCATCACAATCCTTTCAGCACCATGACCAGTACCCTCACCCTAACAACAAGAAGCATGAGCACTTTACTGTTAGGACTTAAAAATAATAATATACATATAGAGGGAATCATTGCAAAATAAAAAGCCTAGACTGCTTCAAATAAAAATGTGCTGTGTTTGGCTGCCATCCAGATTTCCGAGTTATTCCAGGTCTGGTAGACTGAGATGCTGAGTATACAGATCTCCAGGAGAAGCCAAGGGCTCAGCATCTGTGCAAGTCCGGTCTCAGCTTCCGGATCAAAGAACAAATCCTCTCTCTTGGTCTCCTCTGCACTTTTAACCTCACAAAGTCTTCCCCTATACACTAATAGTTTCACACAATGCTCATGCTTCAGAATAGTCTAAATTGCAAATAATGCATGGCTAGACAAGTAGTAAGTCAGAAATATACTAAAATAATTTTCTTACATTATGGCATATTTTCATGGTGGTGTTCTCCACAAAAAGAAAAAAAAAAAGCCAGTAAGGGTAGGTTCTGAAGGCTCCTTTTATCTTATTCCATAATCTATTGCCACACAAACAAAGAAGCAATCAACTGTTCTGTAGTTTAATTGTTCAGGAGATTTGTGGAGTCAAGGTCACCTCAAGATCCAAAACCCAAGGATCCATTTCATTGCATATGCTCTTTTTCTCCCAGTCTTGCAGAACAGGGAATACCAGTCATGGTGAGCAGGTAGAAGTCCCAGTGTGCCAAACATTACAGCACTTCCAACACAAACACACACCTCTTCTTCACAGGACTTGAGTGACATGGAAAGAATCAGGAACATAAAATCACTAAAATATATCCAATTTACACATTTGACGAACAGTGCATCCTCTACCCCCCTTTTCTCACCACTGTTTGACAAATTTCTAGCACGCAGTAAGTCAGAAGTGGCTGGGTTTTACTCAGACAGCATTTAAAGATTTGCTGAAAGCTGTGTGTAAATTGGATCCTACCTTTGTCACAGCATTCCGTGCCAGCTTCCCTAGTGACTTAATTACAGATGCTGTGCCCTGTGTCAACAGCCTCTGATCACCTGCTTTATCTGCCTCATCTGCTGGGAAACACTGGCATGGATAAGCCTGTATGGCCTGTTAGACTGTGATAAGGGCACCAATACTCACTTTCCATGCTGGGATGGTATCTTAGTGAATACTGATTTATATGCTACATTTCCAGTTGGAAAGGTGGGCTGATTACTCCAGAGATCTTTGCACTGAGCTTTAACAATGAAGAATTAAGGGAAGTTAATCAAGGGCCACGCAGCTAACTTCCTAAGAGGCTTAATTATAAATGTTGTGTGGTGTGCAAGTGCAAGAGGAGATGGGTGTTAGCTAGTGAATGTGTCTTCTGAAATTACTTGTGTGAACATAATATGAACCTGAAGAATTAGGGGATAAACATCATCTTGGAAACAGAGAACAATATTCCAAATTAGGAGACAACAAGAGAATGTGGTTTGCTGTGAACAACTGAATTGTTTCCAATTCCTAATCTACAACTAAACACCACTTGAAAATTAAACATAACACTCATGTACCAGTAGATTAAAGAAATTGGCCATAGCTCCATCTGCTTAACCTGTCAAATGAAACTTCTCTTCCCATTTATCACTTAAAATGTATTTTCTTAGTTATTATCCTTGGTGTATTTTTTTCTCACTGCTTAGGCATGCTGTTGAAAATTACTGATTGTTTCCAGTGAGCTGAGTGCCTATGGAAATGAGGAGTTGCTGAGTGTCTCAATCTTGCACACAGTCAGGCCCACAGTGATCTGAACAGCAGCCCATCATGGGAAAGAAAGGACATGAGAACATAAACAATGACAAATATAACCAATGACACTAAAAATGACAGAAAATTAAACAAAGTGGGTGCAAATATAAAGGCACAGTAGAGCCATGATTGCCAGTCAGAAAAACAGCTGAGTAGGAGTTTGCAGTTTAAGAAACCTCTGAAACTGCATACATTATGTTTAGATTAGATGGAGAAGAGTTTCATAACTAACAAAGACTACTGCAATTATGCTATGGGCAGGTCAACACCATAACAAAAAATATGTTCTCACTGAAGGTAATGGGAAAAAATTCCCTTATTCTTAGTGTAACCACATTAATTTAAAAAATCACAGATCATCATCTAAACAGCTCTCCGTTACTGGGTTTGTGATTGTGAAAGGATGACTTTTTCTCCATTATTGTGTATTACAGGTTACTGGTGAATGCACCACAGTACAGAGCATTATCTGATTTAGCTGGGAACACTACCTGCAGCACGTCCAAGGTGATTCACATGCTCCCTGCTATGCCCATACCGCTCCCATGCCAGGTGGCCTGGGCTTGTTGTGAGCAGAGGATGAGGCAACATTCTCCTCCTTTGCTCCTCCTTGCCTCCTGACTGCAGCCCCCGTACCACAGGGCAGGCAGGGCTCTCCACATCACTTCCATCCTAAACACGAGACAGAAGTAGGAGTTAGTACCATGCTGTTAGGGGGTTAGATAACAATTCTGCTGCTTCTGAGCCCACAGTGTGGTTTCTTCTGCAGCCTTATGAAACCCCTGTGAAGAGCTTGCTTGGCCTTGAGCTGCCTTTCCCTGAGGCTGCCCTGGGGGAAGGGCACGCAGAACTTTCTGGAAGCTGTCTGCCTGGGGGCCATGGAGGCAAGGCCCAGGTGTGCCAGTGGCAAAGCCATTCCTTGGAGAAGGGGCTTCAGCCCTGCTGGTGGTGGCCCTTGAGACACCCTACATGTTCAACGCCAAGTTCCCACTGGGGCTCTCAGTCCCCATTGCAGCTGTTCCCAGTGACCCACTGGGACCCATCACTTTCACTGACAGGGCAGCTCCCGAGGCAGGAGCACCCCACGGGATGCCGGGGGGCTGCTCAGGGTGGTCAGTGACCGTCCCCACTCCGCAGGACCCAGCAAGGAGCGCTGAGGGGACGGGCGGGGGCGGTCAGCAGGACACTGCGGGGGACAGGCGCCTCGAAGGGGCTCAGGGCACGGGTGTGCTCAGGGGGACGGATGCTTCGATGGCGCTGTGGGCATGACGGGCTCAGGGGAGCGGGCGCCTTGATGGAGCCGTGGGCATGACGGGCTGAGAGAAACAGGCGCCTCAGCAGGGCTGCAGGAACGAGGTCTGATCGCGCCGGGCTCAAGCGGCGACGACTGCCGGCTCCAGGCAGGGCTGGCGGGGGCGGAGGCAGTGGGAGCGTCAGCAGCCTGCGACCGAGGCGGAAGAAGGCACTGGGCGGCTCCGCGTGTGAGGAGAGCCGGGCCGGGCCGGGCTTGGGGAGGTAACGGGCTCGGGGCACGGGGAGAACCGACCCGCGGGGACGCGGGGCGCTGGGGCCGGGGAGTTCCTGCCCCGCGGAGCGGCTGCCCGGGGCCGTTACGGGTTAACGCTGCTCTCCCGCAGGCGAATGCCGCCTCTCACCCCTTCCATGCCCAGCCCGTGCTTCTCACCTGCCCGCAGCTGGGGTTCCCCGGTCCGATGCGCTGCTGGGGTGCAGGAGCCGCATTACCGCCCCCGGGATACGGAAGGGGCTGAGGGCAGCCCGGTATTGGGGTGACCTCTGAGCGGGGGCACGGAGCAGCTCCCCAGCCTGCGTGCGCCTGGGCAGCGAGGGGGCCGTGCCTGCCGGAGGCTCCCCGTGCCAAGCAGCCCGGCTTCAGGAGAGGGCAAGGGCAGCCTGCCAGGTCCTGTGGGAGCTGCTCAGGGAAGAGAGATGTGTGCCTGCGTTTGATTGAAGGGAACACAGAATCATGTTAGTGGTTTTATTTGTGAGGCTGCGAGGGCTCCCCTGGGGCGTTGGGTTTAGGTCGCTGCAGCCATGGCAAACCCAGAGGGAAGTCCTGACCCCGTGTCGGGCGGCACCGCCTCGGTTTCCCCCCACTGCCATCCCTCCACCGCCATTGCCCCCACACCGTGTGGCGAGAGCGGTGCTGCAGCAATCCCCTGAGTGCTGCCCGGGGGAACATGTAACAGTGTGGGAGCCTCTGCACTGCCAGGCGATGGAGAATACTGGAAGTGGTGGTGTCACTGTGTCCCTTGACAAGGGGATGAGGCAAAGAAACTTCCAAAATTCCTCACAGATGCCAATTACACCCCAAATGTATGAATATAATGTAGCAGATGAGGCGTAAGGGATGGAGTGTCACTTAGGATGTCAGCTTGCACTGATATGGACTTGCTGGACTTGATGATCTTAAAGGTTCCTTCCAGCCTTAAAGATTCTGTGATTCACTGCTGTGACTCTTAGCTGTGGTAAGTGTAGTGGCTCAAAGGAAGGCAAGGAAGATGGGAACCAGCTGGTTGGTGTAATCAAAGGGAGAGGAATTCACTCAGTGTTCCTGCAGGCTTGCTACAGGATTCTTTTGCACATGGGTGTAACTGCAGTAAATACTGTGAAAGAAATGGATTCCGTTCGAGGTCCTTTCAGATGACGCTTGTGAGAGCTGAAAACTGCACTGCATTAAAAGTATCTGGAATGAGAACTCTGAGTATCATTTATGAAAGATTAAGACATGAACATAATCATAGGGTGCAGGCTATAAAAAATGGCATTTGTTCTATCTCACAAAGTCCTTTATCTATACATTTCTGAATTCATGGGATGCTCTTACTATTTCACCAGATGTCCAGACAAGCCTCCTCTGCCTTGGCATCTGAACACCTTATGCAATAAGCATGTCATAAGCTTTGGAAGTTTCAGCCACAAGCACATCTGTTTATCAACCTCAGTGACTGCAGTGGAAAAATTATAAATCTAGCTGCTTAACAGTAAATTGAGCTACATGGAGTTCCAGGCAGGAACCAGACTACAGACACCAGACTACATTTTGAGAACTGAATGTTTTTACTTGAAATGAGGAAGCAGGACCAAACTCTTAAACATTCAACACAAAAGTACATGAATTCAGTAATTGTTCTGAAAGTAAAAGTAACACTGCTTTTGATTCTGCCAGGTATGGTGTACCAAAATCTGACTTTCAAAGCCTTCTATCTCAGGCTTTAATTTCTAACTTTGGGCTCCCTCTTACTTCATTAAGCTATTCTTGCATGAACTGATCAACCTGCAGCTCAGACAGTTAGCTGCTTTATCTGAAAGGCAATGGCAGGTTTCATTGTAAGCCACCTTCTGATTTCTAGATTGTCTTCTCTAAACCATCAAAATTTAATTGTAATTCTCTAAAACAGCTCTGAGACCATGGGGCTGAAGTGATTCAACTGTTGGCATTAGCTTGCAAGTGGTTGTTTACATTTAGCTGGAGCAGAGATCACTTCCCAGACAATTACTTTGCACCCCCAATGGCAAATTAAAGGCCACAATATTCTTTTTCCATGTAGTTAGTCAAGTTTATGCATAAATTAATGCCCTTAGCCTATCTCTAAACGTTCATTTGGAAAACTTTCAAGTATACTTTTGTTAGTGGCCCTAATAGCTGGTGATTGAGGTCCAGGCAAGTAGCAGAGTGTCTTTATGTTGTAAATCATCAAAAAATAAGCAAGAAGATGGGAATAGAATTAAGCTTAATAGCATGCTCTGAGTGCTCAGGAACTGTAATTGAACAGGGTGCTGAAATTGGTACTAACCAATTTCAGATTGGTTACATTTTGGAGCAGGCTGAGTAAATTACAATGTATTTCCTGATTTTTCTTTAAAATGTACCATAAACCAAGACAAATACTTGTTATTTTCAAATCTGTGGGATACTTCCATTGATTGTAATTGGATCAAGAGTACAGTGGAGAGCAGCTCCCTGAACTGCCTGGAGCTCTCTTGTAGCATCTTATTTGCACAGTGTGGTTTTGTTCTGTATTGGAGAAAATAAAATCACTTGGTTTTATGTCTGTAGGTTCAGCTCCACCGTGGTCCTGTGCAACTCTCCTGACATATTTATTCTTCTCTAGGTGACAGTCATCAGCCAATACAAGGTTGTGACCATGAGTTTTGTGGAATATGGAGATACGATAAAGGATGGTGACACGGCTATTGTGTTCCTGGGCCACGAGTCCATGTTTCCTGTGAAGGTGCAGCATGGCTCTGTAACACAGACTAAGTATGGGGTCATCAGGCACTCCACAGACCTCATAGGCAAGAAATATGGCTCCAAAGTGACCTGCAGTAAAGGAGGATGGGTGTTCATTCTTCATCCAACTCCAGAACTGTGGACCATGAATCTCCCGCACAGGACGCAGATTCTGTATTCCACTGACATCTCCATCATCACCATGATGTTGGAACTGAAGCCAGGCTCCATAGTATGTGAATCAGGTAATAATTACTATGTTGAAATCCTTTATTAAGAACTAACACCAACACTTCCATGAAAAAAACAGGGTTTTCTTTATATTTTGCAGAAAGTTGTACTTTCTTCCCACTGTGATACAATTTTCCCTGCCCACATGTTGAAGAATGCTATATCATGTGCACATGTTATCAACTGGTTCTTGAAAAATTGGTGCTACCTCAGCATGCAGCCTCATTTATGTGGGTATACCTCTGAGCATGTGTTTGGGTAATTCATCTTGGAACAAATATGTAAACATTTTCATTTCCCTTTTCTAAAACTGTAGTTAAGTACTTTAAAAATGTTTGTAAATACATGATTTAAATCAAGATTCAGGCTTTGCAGTTTCAGAGGATGTAGTTGAGATAAACTGGTGAAACAGATTCTGGTGATAGGGTGTTGAATAAGAGAAATAAATTGTCAGTATTTATATGTGCTACCATGTAAGTACATAAATTTCATTCTTCTTTTCCCAAGTGTAATCTACTTGTAGCACCACAACCTCATGCAAAATCACTGATTAAATACAATGGATGATGTGTTCATCACAGGGCTGTGTTTTATTTCTAAACTCGGTTTAATTTATTACAGCTTTCATGATTTTGCTTAATTTGGCAGTAAGGAGTGAAAATTGACATAAATATTATCTTGGTTACATAGAGTTTATAATAATGTCTTCCTAACTTTATTACTACAGGCAGTATGAGGCTTTGCTTCATTTGAGTGAATCTCTGTAGTTAGGAGAAATAGCAGCTGAGGTAGTTTGTCCTTGTTTTTTCTGGCTGTTGGAGCATTTTTTGAAGCAGTTTCATACACCTCCCTCTCAAGCATAGATACGGCAAAGGATCAGCATGGTAGGGCTGTGATGCACTGTGCTTTCTTACATTCACCATTTCCTGTTCCCACTCATGCATAATTTTGGGCAGCTTTTCAGGCATAATGACCACTTTCCAACACAACTGAGACAGCACTTATCTCTGCACCCAGTTGAGAACCAGGCACTGTGTTTAGCTGCTTGCTGTACAGCAGCACTTGAAGCAGGCAAAGCCCTGTGCAGAAGCCTCTGATACTGTGAAAATAGCTGGGTCCTGTGAGTTTGTGATTTGGTTTGCAGGATGATCAGATGGTTTTAGTTTTGTCATGGGAAGTTTCTGTATTCATCAGCTCTTCCTCTCCCTGCTATGTTTAGACAGGATGGGAAAAGTAAACAGAAAATTATTTGGGGGGCAGGGGGAAGAGATTGGAATTGCTCCATGTCCTGTCTCACTCAGACTAGTCAAATGTACAGAGCTGTATATGAAATATTTTCAATAATGTCAAAGGTGTCTAGAGAGGATAAAAATGTTTAATCTCTTTCTTATCTAAACATCTAAAAAATGGAAACACTTGATGATTTCCAAAAATGTTGTGAGTCAAAAGTCATAGCCACAAATCAATCATTTTTGCTAAGGGGAAACTGTCCCCAAGTTCATTTTAATGCTTGTACTGACATTGTATTGCAACTTCAGCTTTCCAGGCAAAGTGAACACTTTTACAGGTATAGTTATGCTTGTATCGCTTGCAAGGTTCACTCTTCACAAAGAAAGGAAAGAGGAAAGAATACTATAATAAATCCATCTGACTAACCTTGAAGCAGGAGACCTTACTGCAGATTTACTGTGAATAAAAAACTTGACAGGTATTGACAACTGGAGCCTGTTTTGTGCTGATGTAACCTACTTTGGTGCCATCCTAAGTTCTGTGGTGTTTGGTGATCCAAAATCATGAGCTCTAGATCATGATGCCTTGTGTGGGCTAGACAGAACCAGCCCAATGGTGATGAGTAGAAACAAGACAGGAAGTCTGGTATAGTAAAACTTGAGTCTGCTTCCTGCTGGTACCAAGTTTAGGTGTATTTTAAGCATTAATTAGCACAGAGGTCTGTATTTTTTATTATTTGAACTCAGATATACAGTTGCTGTATGAACTGGCAAGGCAGGCTCTGTACAACATGCTGGGCTCTTTTCCTCTTGGCTTACTAACTCAGCTGTAGAGGTGTGTATTTAGCCATTTTGAGCTAGCAGAATTGGAATTGATTTCCCCATCTGTGAGAAGAAATGATTGAAAAAGTAAGAGGAAATACCTTCTGTGTCATGTTGAAATGCTCTGAATATAAATGATCTTCTGCATGTGATTATAAAAATGGAGTAGAATAACCAGAAGGATTAATTTTATGTTGCTTTAATGATATAGTTTAAATTGATTAGTCATTATTTGCCCTAAAAGATACAAATATATTAATATAGTTTTTGCTATGTTTAATCATCTTCAGTAAACACATAAAGAGCAAGCTTGTCAGCAGCACATGCATAATTAAAATGACCCAGGCATGCTGTGTTGAGGAGGCTATAAGGAGACTCTGCATCTGCCTGATGTTTCATGACAGAGGTGTGGGAATATGATCCTTTTTCTGTCTTCTGCTAATTTCTAATTTATAAAGGTATGATGAGTTTTAAAACTGTTAGCACTGTTACTAGGACTAAGATCTTTTTAAAATATTGGTCCCTGCTCTAAGAAATTCCACACTTGGATACAGTTTTTAACAGCCCTATCTTTCCAAAATTATGATACTCTAAATAGCTGCTTAAATATCTGCTGTGAGTGGCCCAATAGTATGAAAGTTTCATTCTTGTCAGGTAACTGTAATAATCCCATTTGTGTTTATTGCATGTGCAGCAATGCCTAGATAAAGGAAAAGGCTAAATCTTTCTCTTCTGTCTCACCCCACTCTCCAAATCATCAACTTCCCAGGCTAGGCTCTCTGTAGGATAATGCCATTTGACAACAGGTTTTGAGGGTTTCATGCTTATTTTTAATACCGTACTGGAATCAATATGAAACCTTTCAAATATTTTTTCCAAGCAAAATCCTTTTCTTTCCAGTCCCCACACATAAAGGCTTCTTACTGTTCTCTCTCCATGGTGAGATGTAAAAGAGTGCCTGTCTTAATAGTACAGCATGTGAAATCTCATTTAATCTGATAAATCTCAGAAATATTTTGGCTTTGATGGAGTGTAGTATTTAGACAAAACATAATTTAGTCAAAAGTACTTTAACCACCATCCCAGTGATCCTTCAGCATTCACAAAATCAGACTCACGTGAGCAAAAACATTAATTGGATTTTTTGTTTCCCTTCAGCTTTAAATCCCAAATTGAAAATTGCTAAACCCTGTTCATTGCTGCACAGCAATGGGTTTCTGAGCTGTGGGACTGGATTTCTGAAGGCTGAGAGCAGTTCTGGCTTCTCATGGTTTCTCAGAGAAGGAGTAATAGGAGCTGCCACCCAGCCTTACCCTAGAGCTTCTCGAAAACAATTATGAAATTTTCAGACTCACAGCCTGGGTATAGATTTTGTTAAAGAGTACACCCATAAAAAATTAATGAGGACTTAATGATTAATGGATACTTAATAAATGATTAAGAGTTTGTTGTGGAGTCCCATCAAGTCAGCTGTATGCTTATGACTCTTCTGAAGTGCTTATAGACTTTTTGACAAATACTGATCCTGTCTTCATTATTTTTGTGTCATAAGTACATCTAAATTGTTTGCAGCTCTGTTTTTAGTGTAAAGTACAGATCAAAGTTAATTTGATTCTGGAATATGCCCAAACTAATTATGTCTGTGTTTTATAATGTCTCCCTTATCTACCTCTTAGCAGCTGTTCAGGTTAGAGTGGGAGAAGAATTAGAAAACCTGATCCTTGTACAGCACCTCTGAAGTATTAGGAGAGCCTCATCAGTACAAATGTCATAAACCACAACATTCTCTTGCCTCACCAAAGCACTGAACTGGTGCTGGGGCCCCAGCAGAGGGGAGTAGAAAAGATGTGGATCCATTGGAGCAAGTCCAGAAGAGGCCATGAGGATGAGCAGGGGGCTGGAGCATTTCCCCTATGGAGACAGGCTGGACTTGTGCAGCCTGGAGAAGAGAAGGCTCCAGGGAGATCTTAAAGCACCTTCCAGTGCCTAAAGGAGCTGCAAGAGAGCTGGGAGAGGGAATTTCACAAGGGCATTGGGTGATAGACAAGGGGTAATAGGTTTAAACTGAAAGGTGAATTAGGAGGAAACCCATTGCTGTGAAGGTGCTGAAGCCCTGGCACAGAGTGCCCAGGAAAGCTGTGGATGCCCCATCCCTGGAGGTGCTGAAGCCCAGACTGGATGGGTTTTGAGCATCCTGGTCTAGTGGAAAGGTGTCCCTGCCCCAGACAGGTGGGTTGGAACTAAAGAATCTTTAAACATTGTTAATCCCAAACCATTCTGTGAGTCTGTGATGATTCTATGAACCAAATCTCCGACCACATGAGGCATCATTGTAGTGTATTCAGACTTGTGGCTGTCATTAGCTGATGAGGAATGCTGTTCATACCCTAGAGTGTTTGTTTCCAGACTTTCTGGACTCACTTTGATCTTGTAATTTCCCCTGACCACCAAGTACACTCCTCATGCCTCTCTGAACCTAACCCTGTTGTTAACCATATTGTGTCCATTCTGTAGAAGATTCCTTCCTAAAAAAATCAGACTTCTGAATCTATAAGGAAAATTTGTCTCTTCACTTGAATCTCTAAAGAAAAAAATAATTCTTCATATTCTCTTTAGGCAGTGCCAGCCTTGAAAACGTCCCTACTCTCCTTCCCTCAGCTCCTCAGTCTGGTCAGTGAGCAGTGGCCCTCTCTGACCTCCAGCCTGTTGCCTAAAATTAAAATGCCTGCTTCAGCATGGTGTCCATGACACATAGGCAGATAAGCTAATTTTCTGTCATGGGAACTTCTTGACTGCAAAGTGAACATTTTTTATTAGGTGTTTTCTCTTTCACCCATCAGTTCAACTCCTTGAAATTTTTTCCCTCCCTCTCTTCCTTCTCTTGTCCCTGCTCCTCCTGTGTCTTATCTCTGTTACCATGATTTGGACCCTTGACTATCTTCCCAGGAAGATATTTGGGTTAATTTCCATCAAATGCTTAATGTCTTTTCATGTATTCATTATAAGTCATTACACAAACTTGTCATGTAGAGTGAGCAGTCTGTCTGTTCAGTCTTTCTGTTTCTTGACAGATTTTAGCTGTGGAGTTGTTAGCTCTGTCTCAAGATTAATTTTCCCCTGGTTTTTTGAGGCTCCTTCCGTTCTCATGGCTGATTCATGACCTATCTTACTATTTGCTAGGACTAAGTGGTGTAGCTAGGAGACAAATAGAGCAACACTGTCATTGTTTTGTTGTATTTACGCAGTTCAGAATATCTTAGGTAGCCAAATTATGCATCAGAAGCTTAAGCTCTCCTAAAATGTTATGAGGTATTTTAGAGACCCAGTATTAAATGACACTTTGCATACTTTTCTTTTTTTTCCCGTTTCCAAGCAATATGAAGCTTTTTATGCACTTAAGAGCTTATTCAGCTTTATTCCAAAATGCTTTTGCTTGCACACAGCTGTACACATCTATAAATCCTAAATGACAATTTGTAGCTCTTTTTTAAAAAGAAGCACCACGATGAGAAACTTCTAGGGAAGACAAGCCAAGCAGCAACCTGCAAAGAGAAAATGTAGTGGAGCACATAATCAGGTCACTTATATTTATGGCATGGGTAGGATTCCAGGAGATTAGACAAATACCCTTTGCAATAAGGAAACCAGACTAACAGAAAACAGTGTAAAATGTACTTTGTATCTTATATCAGTTAAGTGCTGTGATGCTGTGGTGACAGTCTTGGCAGTATTCTGTGCTGAAATAACATGCTTTAGTTTTGAGCAGCTCAGATATTATCCACTTCAACTTTTGAGAAGGTAAGAAGTTATTTTAACATGGTCATTGTTTCAAGATGGCTGAGGTGTGTGGAGGCTTCTCTGTGGAAAACCTCACACTTGAATAGGCAGAGAGTGAGAGGAACAGATCTGCTGGAGGTCAGGGCAGTTGAGAAGTTCATCTGATCAATACTTGCTTGTCTCCAAATCAGAAGGAGCTATCAGTAGGTGCTGAGCTAGAGTGTTTTATACAGATGTCCACTTGCTAGGACTGAAATCCTAAAGCTGCAGTGTTCTGCTTGTTTTAGGAGAGGGGCAAAAACACTCCCCTGGACCTTATATGTATCAGAGAAGGAGAATGTCATGTGCTTGAGCCCAAGAAGAAGGAAAGAGCACTGCATCAATGTGCAGGGCCATTAGCCCCTAAATCATGGGTGTAACACAGGAGTTTAATTCCTGCCTCTGGACTGAAGTGGAGCCCATTCCTGGTTCACTCTGTGCTGATCCCCTGCACAGTGCTGCCTCCTCAGATGTTGAGCTTTGAGTGTGGCATATTGGGGCCCCTGCAGCGTCTCATTAAATGCCTGCAATGCAGATGTCTGCTTTTTGACTAAGATGTTTGAGATCACAGAACAGTCAATGTAAAAGAGCATCACATTTTCCAAGTGAAAATTAGCAATGACATAAGTGCTCACCTAAATGAGCTCTAAAGCAGCAGCTGTGCTGCTAAGGTTATCTTCAGTACAGTTTAAAGTGTTGTTTTACTTCTCTTCTGTAGAGTCCATTCATGATTAAACCATGGTAGTCAAGTGAGCATTGTCCTGTAGACAGTAACCAGTTTCTAAGGCTATTTATTGTGCAGGCTGTCAGAAAGGGAGCATCCTGGTGTAAAAATTAAAAATTAGTTGTTCTAGTTGTCTTACCTTCTGCTTTCTAGGTCATATCAGGAACATATCAACACAGACATTTCACTGCACCTCTATGAGAAAGAAAATCCACTGGAGTTTTTCCAGTTCTGATCTTGCTTTTTCTGATACAAAATGTTAATTTTTGAGTATCCAGTTTTCTGGTTCAGGTAATTTGTGTACAGGTAATTCAGGAATGCTATTTCTGGTTTGGTAACATTCTGCTATGTCTGCAGTAGTACTCCTCGGTTTTGTTGCTGTCCTGATTGATTCTGTATCATGCTAGGATACATTTCATTTCCCAAGGAAACTTGTACCCAGCTAGAACTTCCTCCAAACTGGTGCCTAAGACTCTTTGAGTCATATTTTGCTTTTTATCAGTAGTGATTTTGAAATAAGGTCAAAGAGAAATTGAGATGGCTGCAGGAGGACAAAAATATTGAATGTTGCACCTTTGTGGGGACACCCCTAATTAATTTCCTTTTTACTTGTTTCTGAGCTGCTGTAGTTCAGATTCTGTGGATATAAACATTCATTTCCCCTTCTAGAACATCGCAAAACCAGAGGGTTGAACCCCTGCCTTGTGCAGACAGTGCTGATTGGGCTTTAGGGCTTGTGGCAGGTATGGACTCATGCCAGACTCATATTAATGGATCACATCAAATGTGCAGATCTATTGGGCACATGAGAGTTAAGGGTCATCATCATGTCACATGTCTGGGTTCAGAATGTATTTTCTAGGAGAGATTTTTACAGTAGTGGGTGGTTCATAACCATCTTGTTTCCTGCAGTTTTGAGAGTGTTGTCACGGAGAAGACAGGCAGCATCTTCAGAAATACTCCCATTAATAATATTAATGTGATAGAATTTGATAGGTTAAAATGTGATACATATGTATTGTTCTCATGTTTGTGGTAGCCAGTCAACAATAAATAATTCCTGGCAACCTTGTTTAACAAAAGCTCTGTCTGTAATACGCCTGTAAGTGGTGACTTCCAATATCTTGGTTTTAATTCAGGGTTTGGCTTGGAGTGTTTGTGAATAAAAGAAGAGTTTTAGAAAAGAAGCCAAAAAATATTAATGGGTTTTCCTATGGAGGAGACCAATGGTATCTTCTGTGGTGTTTTTAAGAGCAGATTTAAAAGGAAAGTGATTAAAAATGTAAAAGAATATGAACAAGGAAACTGGATACATGCACAAGCTGCCTCGCTCTTCTGCTTACAGCCCAGGCTTGTTCCCTCTTTCAGATTAGCAGGGAGAGATGCAGAAAGTGTGCAGCACTACACATTTGAGAGGTACAATAATTAAATTTCCTCATTTTACAATAGCTCTCAGTTGTGTAATCCTCCCTTTTGGCATGAAATGCAAAGGCAGAATTTCAGTCTTTAGCATCCTGGGAGCAATAGTACCCTGCTTTTGTCATTAAAAAACCTATCAACGGAATACTTTTTCTTTGTTATGCACATATATCACTGAGTTTTCACAACCACATGACTGCTGTGCTACCTTTACTCCTTTGACAAGGGAAAAGTTCATTTTGTCATTTAGATCCTTCAAATGCTGTGACAGGGTGGTTATTGCTGTATGCGCATGTAGGTGCGTTTTGGTTTTTCTTTGTTTTGCCCGTACTTTCACTTTATTAAATGCAGTGTGTAAATGTTTCTCTCTTCTCTCGGACCTCTCTGAAGCCAGTGCTGAAATCTGCAGCTCCTCCATCCATCCCTGCCTCCCTGTGCTGTGCCGTGCTGAGCTGCGCGATGCCCGTGTGCCCGCCGGGGTCAGGGCCCCCTCTCTCTCCCGGGGGAGCAGGGCAGCGGTGCCGTGCTGGCAAACGCGGGCCCTGAGCTCTGTTTACACTCTGAATGTGCCCCCTTTCAGAGCTGTGGGATTAAATACCGTGCCACAGCAGTGTTCCTCCCCTTGTGTGACCGGAGGGCAAGAGCCTGGGATCTGCCACTGAACTCAGACTTCCTGCATGATTATGGAAAGCACTGCGCCAATTAAGCGGCTGTACCAGCCCCTGTGCCCCCTAATTAATTTCCTTTCTGCTTGTTTCTGAGCTGCTGTACTTCAGATTCTGGCCTTTATATGTTTTTTTAAGATTTATGCTAACTGAAAGGACTTGCCTCAGTCTAAACAGTCATTGAAAATAGCTACAGACAGATTTTATTTCTACAGGAGAAATGTGTTCTAAGCACAAGATTATGAATCAATAAACACAGAGAATTCAGGCTTGCTGTGGGGTTTTGAATTTGGGGGATTACTCCATTAAATGCCACTTGAGTGACTAATTTGCAATGGGATTGGTATATGGGTGTTTTCTTAAGTGAAAATCTTTGTTATTAGTCATCCATCTATCTAATATGCCAATGGATCATTTAAAGTAAGTTTCCTAAATTATCAAACTAAAACAAGGAAAAAAAATCTTTGTCTTGTCAGTCCCTGTTTGTGTGTGGTAATTGTAGTTACCTACAATTGTGTGACAGATTTTGTTAGACTAAGTTAAGCTTGTGTAGGTGAGTATGTGTGTAAGTGACCTGTGAAAACTGGTGTTTGATGAGTGTGGCTGCAAGGAGCCAAGAGGCCTTGGTTTGGGGTAATTCCAGTGGGAATTGAGGATGTCTCTTAAGAGATCTGTGCAAAGCAAACCATATCCTGAAGGCCATTTGTTTGCATGGATATTAATAGGATTTTCAAGCACAAACCCATGCCAACGTATTTTCTTTGTTTAGTAAAGTATAAGGTTTTGAAAATCCATTGAAATTTGCCTTAATCTCTTTTCACCCTAGAAGAGCCTGACACTTGGAAAAAAAACCTCTCCAGTTAATTTCCCTGAATTTTTCCTGTTGCATTTACTTCCTTATGTTCTCCAGTGCCAGTTGTTAGAGGTATAGCTGACCCTTGGAATTAGTTTCCTCATCCAGGGAGATAGGACAGATCCTGGGTTTGCAGGATTTTGTAATGAATGCTTTGAGGACCCGGAAGACTGTTTCCTAGGACACCTAGTCCCTCCCTCCTTGTGCAGGAAGGACTGTCCTCTTTGGGGAGCTGAATGAGTGGTTTGTGTTCATTTGAGTTTTGAACGAGTGTTCCAAGCAGGAAGATGAATGCAGAAGACTTTAGTTCTGATGTTTGTCCCTGACAAGCCCAATTTCTTGAGTTGTTTGTCTTCCCCAGGTACAGGCAGTGGCTCCCTCTCCCATGCCCTGATCAGGACAGTGGCTCCCACCGGGCACCTGTACACGGTGGAGTTCCACCAGCAAAGGGCGGAGAAGGCGCGGGAGGAGTTTCGGGAGCACGGGGTGGAGCACCTGGTCACTGTCACCAACCAGGACGTCTGCAAAAACGGCTTTGGGGTCTCCAGCATTGCGGATGCTGTGTTCCTAGATATTCCATCTCCATGGGAAGCCATAGGACATGCCAAGTCAGCACTGAAAGCTGAAGGTAACTGCATTTTTCTCTTTCTGTGCGCATATCTGTGCCTTTGAGCCATACACAAGGTGTGCTCCCTTCCCTGGTGTGATCACTGTTCTCAAATGTCAATCTCCAGGCATTTCTAAGGCTATAAAACCTTCAAAAGGCGTCTTCAATTTACAGTGGAAGATTTGAAAGGAGAAGAACAATTTTTTCCTGCAGGCCTGTGAGAACTGCTACAATTAGCATGGGCAGTTTATAAAAACTCCTTTGAACCATTCTCAAGTGCATTTTGCTAGATCTGAGGTGTGTGGGAAGCAGAAGTAACAATAAATGCTGAAAACAAATTTCTCTGGCAATTCAGTAGAAAGGTGTTTGTATAAAAGGTGTTCAGCCTCAGTTCACATCAATCATTGCAGATTTGTACCCGTTTAACAGAGCACCCCAATGGTAATGTTAAAAAAAATGTGATTACACTGAAATATGCTTGCCAGTTTATGTCCTAAATCTTTGTGATTGGAGCTAGTGAGAAGTTTGCCATTGGATGCAGTGGGAATGGAACATAAAGGATGCCTCAGCTTATGCCAGTTACTCTGGGATTCTGACAGCAAGTGAGAACTGATGTTGAGATTTTGCACAGATTTCATCACTTTATTATACCTCTTTACCCTATTGAAAAATAAACTTCAGTGAATAAATAATTCTTTTATCCTGAAATAAGTTTTAATTAAGTTCACGATTTTGTGGATCTGAATTAACTTTTGCCAAATTGCTTCCATCTGCAAAAGTGACTTCTCTAATCAGGAGAGCATGAAGTGCTGAACAGTGTCCATGCTGGGACGTGAGTTTAAAAAAACTTGATTATGTGCCAAGGCCCAGTTCTTTGTTAAAATATATAGTCACAGGCTGGACTTCAAGTGAATTACAAAGTCTTCTTGAAATCACAAGATTGAAGCTTGTTCTTAAAGGTCACTGGATGTGCACTGCCTTGCTGAGTCAGGACCAGCCCTGCTGTTAGGCTACCTCAGCTGCTACTGATAATTTTCTACAGAGCTTTGTGATACCCACGTAACACACTGCCTTTAAAAAGTGAATAAACACAGTGAGCCTTGTTAGCACTCTGTACCTGCAATGGTTACAGTTCAATTTGTAGCAGATTCCCAGTGTGTCCTGAGGGGGAAGAAAATCACTGCACTGTACAATGCCCTTCCCATGCTCAAATTATCTAATCTAGTGAGCACAACGCTCAGCTGACTTCCCAGCTTAGAAGGCGCTGCATTGCGCAGTCCAATTTGAATTATTTAAGTGGTGCATGCTTAGCATACTAAGCAGGGCTGCTTGAACAGTTCCAAGTTTTGAATCCTTGTCTCACTCCAGCATTTGAAATCCTAGAAAATGTAATACAGTCCCAAACCGGCCGTACCATCTGGCTATGCTTTTCTGTGCTTTGCTACAAGGTTACATCTGCTTAGGCAATATAAATAATACTTCAGAATCCCACATTTTCGTGTTTGTGGAGTGGTGTCATTCACTTCATGAGCCACTCAAAAGGGGAAGTTGCTGATCCTTGCTGCAGTTTTTGCTGCAGCCAGCCTCCCATGTCTGAGATCTGGTACTGATCTAAGGCTCCTCTTTTGGGCAACTTTGTACCTGACTGAATAGGTGCATTTTTAAAATTTTGCTATTTTGCATATAAACAAAAACCAGTTTTCATATAAAATGTAATTGATTGTCATAGTAAAATGTAAAAACTTAGACACTTCCCTGTTTTATCCTGAGTCATGGGGGTAGTTTTGTTGTGGTTTTTTTACTGCTGTTAAATCTAAAATATGGCAGAAGGTTATCTGTAACTGCTTCCCTTTCCCTACCACAGGCAGATAATTTAATAGTGCTCCTTTGTTTTGTTTTCAAAGAGTGAAGCTTCTTCTGCAGTACAGCCTGTGCACATTCTGCTGTTACTGTTCCAGGGTTGGTGTAGTGATAAAGCATCACTGCAGGAAATGAGTTCCACTCTTTTCTGTCCACGCCCTCTCTCTCAAATCTGGACAGGGTCACATTTGAACCATTCACACTGTGGGTTTTGTGATGTGCCCTGCTGTACTGCCAGATAGTGGTAATTTAGTCCCTGAAGTCTTAAGGTATGTTAAGGAAATTCTAAATATAGCATTAGCTACTCTCTTCCTTCAAACCTCAATACTCACAATAGAGTTCAGCTGAGATAATATGGGAGAGTTCTCAGCCTTACAAAACCTTATCAGATCAGTGTTCTCTCTTCCACTTCAGTTCAAGGTCCTGAATAGTTGCCACTCCTAGTAGGCTGAGTGTTAATGATCCTATTTGCAGAGTGCAACTATCACTCACGTTGTGCCTTGCAGGATGCTGTAAATACACTGCTTGGAGCAGCTTGGCCTCCCATTTAAAGCACTGCCAGCCTCTGAAGAGCTGAACAAATAAAATGGCACAGGAGGTTTGTGACTGGAAGGTTCTTGTTCTCTGGTGATGCTTCAGGTTTGCATCTCAGCTGCATCCTTTTGTGCTGATGTCACCAGTCACACTTCCAGCAGAAAAGCTGCTTGTGGCATCTCTGAGGCACTGCTGCACTGCAGAACTTCTTTCATTGCCAGACCTGCACTGTTTTTCTTCTGCAGCATCTGCTGATTAATGCTTTTCTGTTGTCATAGCTGCTGTTCCCAATATCTGACCTTGGTGGTTTTTGCAAAGTTGACATTAACCCCTTCAGGCTAAACTTCTAAAAATTAAGAAAATGAGAAAATTGTGAGGTAACAAAAATATCCTCAATATTCTACAGTTCTTAAATGCCCTGAAACTTTTGACTCACAGTCATTTCTCAGCTGAATACTGTAGTGCTTTGAATATAATTCTGCACCCACCTACTCTACTCTCATAAATACTGTCTATTTCTTCCAAAGCTGTGGAAGATGAGGGAGAAACCCACTGGTACAATAATTTTCATACAGATTTTAAATTTTCAGGTAGGGGGATGGAAAATTACAGCCATGTATTAGGGTGGATTAGCCTCTTATATTTTAAGTTGCTCCTTATGGTGTTTAACAGTCTGAGTCACAAAATTATTAAAACCACCTCTCTTTTATTTCCTTTCTTTCTTTAAAGATTTTACTCTTTAATTCAGATTCTCCATTCCCTCTGGAGCATCATAAAGCCCCTAAATTATGAGTTTATCAAATTGTGATCCTTGAAAATAACTGAATCAGGTAACATGGTGCTCTCAATTTTCCCCCCAGAGCTCTGCAGATAAAGTTCACTTTGAACATCTCCCTCTTTGGGCCTCTGCACTTCCACGTCCATGTAGGAAGCCTCACTGGCTATTTTTCTTGATCTCCAGAAGAGATCCCAGTTTTAAACCACCCAGGTATGGCTTTGAGGCACAGCTTCTGTCCCTCACCATGTGAAGGACTTGGACTCCTAATTCATCCCTAGCTTGGGTAGGTCAGCTGCACACACTGGGCCTGCCTGAAGTGATTCTTTCACATGTAGAGAGTCAAGCAGAAAGATTCCTGCATCAAAATCCTCACTGGCCAGCCAAGCTACTGGCTTTGACACAGTTTGAAGGAAGTAGTTTGGGATGAAAGGATCCCTAAAGAAAGTTGTTAGGTTTTCTTCCCCAGTATGGAGCTGACTGATTCTTTAATTTCCTTGTTACATGCTTTTACCAGCCCACAATAATGAGCAGGAGTAAATTCCTTTTGAATGATGCACCTACAAGTGCAGAGGTTAAGGTCACATTTGCAGAAAATCACATCAAGCTCCTATTAATGAGCTGGCAAGTGATTTGGAGAAAATTCTCTTTTCTGAATCAAGAAACATCCTTTAATTTCTTCCAACAGCCAAATCCTCTAATTTCACTTGTCAGGGAAGCTACATCAAATCGCCCACGAGCACACGCACTTAAAGGACATTCTGTCCCCTTTTGCAGAGACAATATTTTTGTCACACAGTAAATGCCACAGTGATGCTGCTCAGTGACTCTCCTGCCTCACCCCTACACAATGATAATGCCTGTGTGGTTTTTTTTTTGTTCCTTGGGATCTTTGTAATGTAATCTTCCAGTTATGACAATGCATTGAAGTCCCACACCCAAGCTGTGTTCTTTTGCCAGAGGTAAAAATGTTGTGCTGTGTTCTTTATGTCACAGAATCATTCTAAAAATTACTGGCCATTTTCCCTAAAACTTAATGGTGCTGCACTTCATGTGCATCATCTGAATAATACTGAAATGATGAAAGAACCTGTCAGAGCACTTGTAACACATACAATAACCTACAAAAATAAGAGCACATTTCTTGGACATGTTTTCTGTATCATAAGCATACACTGGAGTTCTTGTCAATAATAGCACTGAGATTTTCCACACCTGAAACCTAATGCACTCAACAGCTAAACAGAACTGGTAGAGATATTAGTCCTTGCTCAGACAAACCACAAACAAAATTGTTTGTTAGAGTTGCACAGGAATATTCTGGCAACTTTTGAGGCACTGGCTTCTTGTAGAGATGCAGTGGTGGGTCCCTCAATTACCAATTAGATAAAGTCTGTTGAAATGTACAGTACTGTATGGATGAAAATCTTCTGCTTCCCTCTTCCCTTAAGCTCATTTTTCTAATCATTCCAGTCAGAGTTGTACTTCCATTTTCATGTCCTCTCAACCCTGTTGCTGGTTACAATGACTGCCAGGACTGTGTGGGCTTGTTCCAGGCTATGGATTCAGGACATTTAACCTCTCCATTAATGCTTCAAACTAACTCACTCCCTGTAAAACTGAAGGTAGAAAAAAACTTAAGTCTTTCATACAGTCTCATTATTCTCTTCTCCTCAACTGTAGCACTTGTCAGATGCATTATACATGAATAAACACATTTTTAGACAGCTCTTGAGATCAAAAAGCTCACACAGCTTCCCAATGTGAACAGGATTAATCTCTCATAATTACTATATCAATTTATGATGACACACAGATCTCATTAACCAAATTTAGGAACGGTAGCTCTCCTAAAAGGAGAGTTCTGAAGGAACACAAACCCAATTTGTACAAAAAAGTTTCCATTCAGATGTTTTCACTGCTCTCTAGTCTAGTCCATCCCTTTGTGATCCACAGACAGAGCAATGTGCCCCAGGGAGGAGAGGTGGGGAGTTCATGTCTTTTCTTCATTCACTGAGGAATCCTTGGCAGGGCAAGACAAAGCAGTGCACATTCAATTCCTTTTAGCCCTGGAAGCCTCTTGGTGTCTAAAGGACAAGAGGGCTCTCAAGAGTCTGAGAAGTGTGAATGCTGAAACCTAGATTTATATTTGTTTGGTGATTGTGACAGAAGGGGTGTTGCCTGGCTGGTAGTCCAGCTGGGTACAGAGGGCAGCCCTCAGAGTGCAGAATTCAGAAGCATCTGCTCTGTTCAAGATGACAGTGTCTCTGCTCCTGGGACAGATGAGCATCTCCTTCTGAGTGCTGGTTTTCTACTTTCTTTTTTGCTGGTCTAAACACACCACAGGAATTGAAACTTCCAAATGTTTCTATTTTAGACAGCCTCTCGCAGTCTGGAGCTGCAATTTCATTTTTGCCTTGCAGCCTTCTGCTAACTGTAGCTTTCCAATCTTCACTCCTAATATCTGCTTAATCACATAATTCCAGCCTGTAGCTGCAAGTCAGATCTGGCCTGCCTGATGGTACAGAAAAAGCAGAGGGGACTCCTCTCCCACTTGTTAGGATCTGTAAGGACAGATGCTTGATGGGTTTGCTTCTAAGCCCTTTGTAGGTACATTTGTTTGGGAGGAATGTATAAAAATAATGAGAACTATAGGCATGAAAGGGGAAAACAAAATTGGCAGAACTATTAAAACCCATTGGATAGTCTCAGTTAGATGGAAGTTCACTCTTTTCTCATCTTTCACACCTGAGAAACTTCCAGCAGTGCAAGAAGTAAAGTAATAATTTTTGTGCTTGCCTTCTGGATATTTGCTACTGCAAGCAAGAGCTTTCTCCTTATTAAACGGCTTGAAAGGCTGTTTTCTGTAACCCTACTTCCCCCAGCAGCTGTGAGGAGGCAGCCTGATAAATCTTCACCAAGTTTGGTGTTGACGTGCTGTGCTCAGCTGACCAGCCCCAGGCAAGGGGAAGGGTGCTCTGCCTTTAATTGAAGGCTTGACAAGAACCGTAGGTGGCTCTGCAGCTTGCATGGCAACAGCTGTGTGCAGGCTTTGAGTTTTTGACTCTAAATCCAGAGCATGTGAATTCAAAAGCCTAAACCTATCTTCAGACCCTTACAGTCAGAATAAATAAAAAACAGGCTTACTGTCGATGTAAATATATTTTGCTTTCTTTATTGCAATATAAAACCTCAAAACCAAAAAGCCTGAATGAAGTAGTAGTCTCTGGTCTCTCAGATTCTTGCTTTGCAGACAAAGAGTTATTGTGAGCTGACATTTAGTTAAGTCAGACATTTGTTCAGTTCCCTACACAATAAGAATATAAATTCTTTCTTTGTAACATGTGTGCATCATAGTAGCTTTCTTATTATGTAACAGAATTTTTTTCCTGAGCTTTTCTGTTTTACATCTGCAACCGTAGAGTGGAGTGTGTAAGTTCTTTGGGCAGGAAAGATTAGCTGTCAGATTCAGGGACATTTTGGTAGTGCTGGCCATCCTGATGAACATACAAATCTAATTTCATGGGAGTTAATGGACTGGGCGTGCAATTAAATCAGCATCAACAGACTTGGTTCATAAAGACACATACCAGCATTAGTTTTGCAGGTGATTATTAGATTTGAGTTTTAATTGTCACTCCAGGGAATTACTTGTCCAGGGTACTTTGTTCTGAAGATTCATGATAAGAACCCCTTGGTGCAGAGACTTCATTTGAGGACTAAAATTAAATCCTGCTTAGTGTATGGTGGATTAATGGTTGTGGAAAGTGCTCTTCCCCAGGCAGCACGAGCACATCATTGCTGCACAGTAACTGGAGTGCTACAGTGACGCTTTCAGACCTGATGCTTTCTTTTTTTAGAGATCTGACTTTAGAAACGAAAAAGGAAAAAAAAAAGGGGAGTTTGAGATAAAGCAGGCTTCATGTAGTGCTAGCATTGCCTCTATTTTTAGCAGGATGCTTTGCTCTGGCTTGCACGGGTTCTTTAACTGCTTGGATGGCTGGCATTGGAAGGTTTGACTGGAGCCCAGGAGAGGACTGGGGAGGAATGCAAATCAGGCCAGCAGGCATCTTCATCTAATTGTAATAAATGCAACAATAGCTGAAGCTGCATTGCCCAGTGTTCCTTCCTCCTGCACAAAAGCTTTTCAGGAAGGGCAGTTGCCTTGGGGGACGCTGTGTCCTGGGTGAAAGCACATGCCCTGGCCTTATGGCAGACAGTGTCCTTATAATTCTTTGATCTGATTTGGCTGTGGCTTTTCAGAGTAAATCTGAATCATTCTATTCTCAGCTGTTAAGGTGACATTGTAGCACTTAGAAAGGTGTAGGGGGCCTATTAATAGCCCGTGTTAAGAATCAAAAATCAGAACTGTGCATAGACAAGGAGACAAGTGTTAGTTTATCACTTGAAAATCTTGTCCTTGAGTTTTACAACATTTTGCTGTAAGCCTGCACGATGTGATATCCAGTAAAGTTCAATGCTCAGGAGACATGTTGACTAAAAGGGTAAAGCCTTAACAGCACTCCATCTATGGCCTGGAGAGCTGCCTTTATTCTGTGCACGCATACCATCGTCCTCAGCAAACACAGCCTCTTTGTCAGGGCGTGTGCAGTGCTGGGGCTGCAGCCTGGGCACTGTGTGGAGAATGACTTCTGGCTTTGTGTACGTGCCAGCTGCACTTCGGTGCTCACTCCAGAACAGTGGAGAGTGATTCCAAAAGAGTTGTGCTCTAAAGGGACCAACTTCAACAGTTTTGCTGTGAGCAAATGTGGAGGGCAGCATTGGATGTGGAAGATGAATGAAGTTGCTGTTGTTGTTTTTAAAGGGTCTGAAGCATCCTGTGGGGTTGTCAGTGTTTCATTTTGTGCTGACACTTTAAACCAACAAAGTTGCCATGTGAAGATTTTCTTGAAGAATGTTTCCACTTTGCCTGTATAACAGTAATTCTATGGGTATCTGTGAGAATTTGAAAAAAGATGAAAAGTGCTTCATTTTGGCTTTTGCCCTCTTTTCCACTACCTGTCTTGTTTTGCAGGTGGCCGCATCTGCTCTTTCTCCCCCTGCATTGAGCAAGTTCAGAGAACCTGCCTGGCCCTGGAAGAATCTGGTTTTACAGAGATTAACACCTTGGAAATTCTGCTCCGAGTGTACAATGTAAGGACAGTTAGCCTGCAAATCCCTGACCTTGGAAAAGCAGCTGAGGATAATTCCAGCCCTGGCTTTGAGAGCAGCAGCCCATCCCATCAAGGCAGCTCGTGTGCTAATCTGCAGCCAGGGACTGTGCAGTTCAAGAGTGGCGTGCCACTGAGGGAGGTGGTTGGGCACACTGGGTACCTGACCTTTGCCACCAAGAGCCTGCTCTAGTACCTGCCCAGTTTGTGCAGTCTGGAGTGGAGTTTGAGTGTATTCTGTTTTCATGGCTCTTTTCTGTATGGCATCCAAAGTTTCACTTGTCAGGGAATTCCATATATAGTCAGATTTGGTTGGAATATGCTTTGTTTAAATAGCACACAAGCATTAAGCAGAGCAGCATCAAGGGAATGTTGAAACTCTGGAATGGTGCTCCACTTGCTGCCAGAAAGAAGATAAATTAATAGCAAATGGACATTCACTGGAATGTGCAGAATTGAGATCTCTCATAAGTAAGCAAAACAAACAACAGACAAATTACAAATAAGTTGGATTTTTTCCTCCCTTTTTTCTGAATTACTTTCCCAGGTTTATGTTTTTATTTTTCCCTAGCACCACTGGACACTATTCTTTTAACTTCTCTAGTGTCTGTGTTGCTCTGAAGAATGTGCAAGTGCCTACTTCCTCCATTTTAGATAAGAAAGTTCCAAGATTGCAGGGTTGCCAGCACAACTGTTCACAGAATCAGTGTTTCCGTGGAATAGTGTTCCAGAGGATTATTGGCAACACTCAGGAACACAACCTCTCACTCCATTCCAAGCTGGCATTTGCAAATCATTTTGACTACACAGAGGTCAAAGAAGTGTGGTAATTGTTGGATTTAATTTAAATTGGTATATTGTGCTCATCATTTTGTAGTAGAAATTTGAACCTGGATCCATACGGTCGTGTTCTAAAAGAACAGCCACTTTTATAGTTGATGAATCCACTGTGAAAATTAACTGAACAGCTGGCTAATACTATCTGACCACCTCTTTGTAAGTGGTGTGGATGAGTTTCCAGTTGTTTGGTGGTTTCTTTCCATTATGGTGTATTGTTTTCCTGCAGCTGAATGACAGAAAGATTGCTTTTGGCAGGATTTCTGTCTCCAAATCACATCAATAATGCAAACTTAGTAAAATCCTCAACCAACCTTATTAATTAAGTTTTCAGATCATTTACTTTTTGGTCTTCCATACAGAGCTGGTGGGTGTGAGGAACTGTTTGAATGCTGGATTACATTTTGTATTTATAGATTAAAATAATAATGCAAATTTATTAAAGTTCCTTCTTTTTTTCTGATTTTATTTTTAATAGTAAATTTACAAATATTCCTAACCCAGCAACTAGTGCTGCCACTCAAAGCATTTAGCTGTGCCTTGCATGTACCTGAGCATATTGATTGCTGTGCAAGGGAAGCAGCCATTCATAAAGTGCTGCCTGAACATTTAACCTGATATCCCTCCCCCTTTCTTGACAAAAATAAACAAAGCTAAGCTTTTAACGTGGTTCAGCAGAACGCTAATCCATAACGGTTTAAAGAGAGCTCAACCGATCACGGCTGCAAAGATAAACTGTTGAGCAGATTAAAGGCAGAAAGCAATTCTGTTCAGCTAAATCAGTTATGTAAGTTGGCCTACAACTGCAGCATTTCCCCAGAAATTATGGGAAAGTTCCCTTTCTGCTGCTGTTCGTGTTCTCCAGGCTGTGCTGCTGATGCTGTGTGTGGGGTTTGGTGGCTGTGTTAGAATGTGTGAGTGTATTTGCGTGTGTGTTTGTGTGTGTGTCTGTGTTTGTGTGTGCTGGGATCACCACCCAGCAGCACAGCACAGCTACTGCCAGACTCCAGAGGAAAGGATGGGGAATTACAACCACAAGGTTCTCCTTAACTTCCTTCAAGGTCATCCTCATTCACTAACAAGGGGGATCCCCAAGCTTCTCCAGGGATAATTCCAGCCCCAAACTTGATTGGGGGCCAGGCAGGCCTTATTTTAAAGTAATGTAACATCTAAACAGGACTAAAAAGGAACAAAGTCACGTTTCTGTGCTACAAATAGATGTGGAATGGAAATACCAATGTGTCTTCCTGGAGTTTGAAACAAGGCTGATGCCTTTTTGCCTACAAAGCCCAATTCAAAACCCCTTGAAATAAACCATTGACTTTGCTTGATGCCATATTGATTTGACCTCTGCTGAGGAAGGGCAAGCATTGCATAGAAGAGAAGGATTTCATTTCTGTCTTTGCAATATTTAAAAGGCTTTCTGTGGTTTTGTTGCTGATGACAGCCATGGCCAGCAGCACTGCACCACTTCCTGCTGCTGCCTTGTTGTCAGGGTCACAGGGAGGATCCCACACTGTCCAATGTGGACAGTACTGTGCTGACAGACCCTCCACTGTTTAATGCTGCTTATGGTCACCTGTGTCCTACATTCTGGCTGCACTCCCTGCCAAAAGTGGTAGTGGGAGATCAAAAAGATGGGTTTTTCCCTCCACGTTGGGGGAATCTGCCTGGGCCATACTTTTACATTTCTCTTCTGAATACATTTTGGTCTCCAGTATGGAACAAAACACTTCTTCCTGCCCTGGTGCAGTTCAGTCTCATGTTCAGGTGCACCTTTCACTGCTGCCATGCACCAGGATCCCTCAGCCATGGATGAGCACTAGGACACAGCCCTGCACAGCAGCCAGGTCCTGTTGTGCCCTGTGCCCTGCAGGCTGGCATGGAGAGCAGGCTGTGACACCTGGCAGCCCACAAGGCACACAGCAGTGACGAAGATGAGTGACATGAGAAACACTCAGAGCTCTGCTGCTGTTCACAGTTTACCTGTGCTTTAATTAAAGCTTCACAGATCTGCATCTCACTGTGGTTGTTTCCTGCCTACCTGTTAGCACAACACTCTTCTCTGAAGATGATCATAAATCCTGCTTGAGAACCTTAAAGGGATAAAGTGACAAAAATTCAGAACTCTTCTGTTGCATTTCCTGCTCTGCCTTCTCCTTAGGTACTTTGGGATACGTGATGGTGAGGAGATGGTTCTTGCTGGGAAGCATTCCAGAGATGAGGGTTCTGGCTCACACTCTCTCCCTTGAGAATCCATCTGTGCTCCATTAGTGCTGGTGAGCAGGATGTCATGGTGACCCAGAAACGAGGGGGGCCCAGAGATGCAGTGATGTACTTGGGAATGAGTGCTCATTCCTGCAGGGGCTGCATCACTTGGCTTCAGGAGTGCACTGGGCAGCCTGGGTGTTCATGCCCTCCAGGTTTGTTCTGGTCAGAGACTGGAGAACTGTGCCCTCCTGGGCTGCAGCTCAGGGTGTTTGGTGATCCCAGCTCACCTCTGTGCCAGTGGAGCAGAGCAGGCTCAGAAAAGGAAGGTTGGGAAATGCCTGAGCTCTTGGAGGCCATTGCTGGACTCAGTCTCAGCTTGTGCTTGCACAAGTAGGAGAGAGGCATGATAAGAGCAGAGTGGGAGAGTCAGCGTTGCATAACCATGATGTTACACCAAACGTACGTGCAGCTGTGACCAGTCAAAGGGAGGAAAGGGGTTGCTGGAGTACCAGAAAGTTCTCTCTGTCACCATGAGGGAAAGCATTTACATGCTGCTTGGCCTCTCGAGTGCTCCTGAGGAATGATGTTGTTTAGATGCCAAAAGAGGGGAGCCAGACTCTGTTATTTCCTTTCTCCCTACGTGAAAGCTTCTGAACTGGAATGAATCTGCATCAGCACCAACACAGGCAACAGAGAAACCTTGAATTAAATAGTGAAATAAAAATAAATCTCCTCACTGGTATCTAGCCCTTTACCTGCATATCTCACCCAGGAGATCTGTGTCCTTTTGCAGGCTGTTGTCCTCTGCTGCAGGGCAGCAGTCTTGAACTCTGAGGTAAACTGGCTGATATGCTGCTGATAGGAGCAACCACAAAGGCAGCTGGGAGCAGTCCTGTGGGCATCCCACTGCACCTTGTGCTTCCCCCTGGCTGCTAAAGTCAAGTGCCCACAACTGGGCTTTTCCTTGCTGTGAGGGGTCCTCTCTCATCATCCCTGCTCCTGCCCTCAGACCCAAAGCCAGCAGCCATTCCTACAGCATGCACCAACTCTTCCTGCTGCTCCCAGCCCACTGAGATTGCACAGCCAGGCTTTGAGCAGAGCAGTTTCCTCTCCTCTTTACTGCAGTGCAGGACCAGGGCTGTATTTTGCCACCCCTCAGGATCTGCAGGTACAGCTGGGTGCTCCTGACCAGGCACCTGCAGATAGCAGCAGGTTGGAGCTGCTGAAGACCTCAGCCTGAAGTTATTTCAGTGGGGGCTGAGTGGGTTGATGCTAAATTTCATATTCCTTTACAGCTGCTGAGAGGGCAATCTGCATGAGTGGTTCCAGTGGAGCTCTCCCCAGAGGTTCGGGTAGCTGCAGGATATGTCAGAGACCAGGACTGAGTGAATTCAGAGCTTCTGCTGCCTGAGGTGCAAGCTGAGCAGTCAAAGCTATGTAAGGAGGAGAAGGAGCCTTTTCCATCTCTTTCTGAGCCTTTTCCATCATCTTTCTGATCCTGATTCACCATGAAGCCCATGTGCATGACTAGGTCTAGCCAGCTCAGAGAAGCTGTTGCTTTAGCAACCTCCCTTTGTATTGGGCACCGTGCAGGAAGGGGAAGTCTGGAGTGGGATTTTCCTCTCCCTCATGTTGCTTTGGGAGAGCTGTATTCCCCCCTTCTAACCTGAGCCAAAAATACATTTGCAGTGGTTTTGCCTACCATGTGTCTGCAATTCAGCATGGCTGGTCCCTGGGCACATGGAATGAAAGTTTGTGATGTCAAAATATTCTGAGCCAGAAGTTTATTCCACTTGAGTGGTGAGGAAGATGTTAAAGTTATAGGCTCTGATATTTTTCACACTGGCCCCTCCTCCCCTTAGAAATTGTCCATAAAGTACCATTTCAGAATAATTAAAGAATCAAGGGCCACCTGTTTGTAGGAATCAGCTGGATTTGAGAACCAAATCTGCTTGGAGGAAGCAGGGGAAGGAGCAGTAGTAAGGTGGAGAATGATTTCTAGGAGAAAGCCCTTCCTTTCCTGGCCTTTTGCAATAAAGAGGCAATTTCCCAGGAAATTCCAGATTCTCCTCTTGAAAGCTGTGGCTCAGAAATGCTCATTAGTGAGGATGTCAGTTCAATCAGGCTGTTTTAACAGGAGATGTAGGGTGGGATCTACAGCTGATTGAGTGGAAAGGAGGGAGGGAGAGGGAAAGAAGCCTGCATTCAGCTCAGCCTGTTGGATTACAGGTGCATCATGTCACACTGTTAGAGGAGTTCAGTATGGTTCAAATTATGTCAGCAAAATATGCAATGTAGTTATGTATTATACAATAAAGAATCACCCATTTAAGGGCATTACTGGGCAAGAGAATTGAGTAACAGAGATTTGATTGCCTATATTGAAAAATCAGATTTAACTAAGAAACCAGCTACAGTTTCTGCATGTTCTCTTGATGTGTTTTTGTGTCCTCTGTTGGATAAGGTCAAAACATGTAAGAAAATGGATAATATTTGGGTGGAATACAGACCCCACAAGCACATCAATCTTCCCAGACAGGAGACTGACCTCTAGTTTTTACTAGCCAGTGTTCCCAGGAGGATCCTTCATTGCTGACATTTCCTCACTGATCTTAGCAGCCCTTTAAAGAGAGAGGGAAGTGCCCTTTTGCAGCAGGGTGTGCAGGTTTTTCATGGTCACAGCTGATCACCAGCCTGCAGACACATCTCAGAGCCAGGATGGCAGCACTGGGCTCCTTTAGGTTTTTACACAAACTATAAATGGGACTGTGTTCCTCTGAAGGCATTACAGCCAGCCCTGGGCACTGCTGGCATTAGAGCAGCACCAAGAGGCCCAGGTGGGCTGAACACATGAACCTGTCACAGCTGAGAAAGCCATGAGCAAAGTGTGACCTGGTCAAAGCCACCAGCAAAGTGTGACCTGTGCGCAACCATGTGGCACCACAGCAAACCCAGGGCTTCCTCCACCTCAGGGACAGTGCTGGGCCTTGAGCATTATCCCTTGGAGCATCTTCTGTCCCCAAGGAACACAAGGGCTCAGTTCCCCTCAGACTAAGTGCCTTTGCACCTGCCATTTCTGTGCCGCTTCTGACAGAGCTGTAGTCCAAGAGTCAAGGTGCAGCGTGCTTGCCCAGGAATAGAAACTGCAGCTCTTCCTCATGGTAAATCTCTGTGTGAGACAGGATTTCTGCTTCATAAGGAAACAGTTCCTCATTTATCATGCAGTTTGACTTTGATCCTGCAAACATTTACTAAGAGAGGGGAAGGGCTTTGCAAAATGGCTGTGGCAGGAGATTGGAAATCCCCGCGGCTGTTGTGAGAGCGCGGTGGCACCTCCGCGTCAGGGAGCTGCCTGAAGAAAGTGCAGTTTCTCAAAGAAGGTAAAGGGATTTCATGCCCCAGCTCCTACTGATTTTTCTTATTTATTTCAGTGGGATTTCAGCACAACTCCCTTGATCACCTGGGCCCTGGCTGTGTAGGTTTCTTTGGGAATCTCACAGCACCATGCTCCTTCCAAAGGCTGATGCATGAGGGGATTGTGCAAGGCAGTGGCAGAATGGAAAACAGGACCTGATGCTCCAGATCTCCTCACAGCTCCTTCTTAAATAACAGTGCTCTCCTAATGCTCAGCAAGAATCTCCTCCAGAGCAAAACTCTCACATGGCAGCACCCCAGTGCCCACAAGCTCTTACAGTACCTGGATGCAAATACAGTTAGATAATG